TAACTGTGTTAGTAATGGGATCTGCCCTTTTGCCATGAGAAGTGTGACAGAGCCACGTCACACAGCTGCTTCCAACAGTTCCGGGGTCTGTAGCTGTAATTACAGCTCTTGGAATGCCTCACTTCCCAGCCCTGGTTGGATCTTCTCATGGTTGTGATGTAGGTGAGCTCAGGGGCTGAACGGAACAGATTAGCCACCACAGCAGCAAAGGCGAGATGAACAGACAGACACAGAAGCAGCACACACCAGCCCTGTGGAGCGCACCTTTTCCACAAGATTCCCGGGCAGGAGGTTCTCCACAAACTGCCGAAGGTTTTCCCGAACCACAGCGTTGTGGAAGAAGGTGATTTTCCCGTTGATGAGCCCCAGCAGGGAGGGGGTGCTGTGTGCACCCAAGTGATGGGCGAGCCGCCTCTCGTACCCAGCGTGAACAACCCCGATTCCTGCTCCTGCAAAAGGAGAACGGGTTCGTGTGGTCACAGGTGATGTCTCCTGCTCGGGAGTTACTCAGGGGACCATCCCTCACAACCCTCTGCTCTCCTCTCACAATCCTTGAAGGTTTAAACTCATGCATTCAAATCCATGCATTTAAAATTCAGAGTTTTAGAATCATGGAATCAACGAGGTTGGAAAAGACCTTTCAGCTCATCCAGTCTAACCTTTACCTGAGCAGTGCCAAGGCCACCACTAACCCAGGGCACTAAGGCCTCGGCTACACGGGCTGTGAACACTTGCAGGGACGGTGACTCCAGCACTGCCCTGGGCAGCCTGTTCCAATGCCTGAGCACCCTCTGGGCAAGGAATTGTTCCTCAGCTCCATCTAAACCTGCCCTGGTGCAGCTTGAGGACGTTTCCTCTTGTCCTGTCACTTGTTCCTTGGGAGAAGAGAGAACACGCTGTCCTCTTCATCTCTGTCCACTGGTACTTCACATGTTACAGTAAAACCTCAAGCAGAAACATCTTAGTAAAGGGGAACTACCCTGCCTTTGTCTCCTGCTGCCTGTTGAGTTTGTGTATTTCTGGAAGTGCCTTCAGGCAACAGCTGTGGGGAAAACAAGGAAGCTGGGGTGGAGGGACAAGTACAAAATACCTCCTTAGCATCCAGATGTGTTCTATAGTCTCAAAACTTCACTGTTTGAGCTCTAAAGCTGTAATGCACAGGACGAAGAGCAATACAGTGCTTACACTGGTGGCCTGACTGGCCCTTGGTCACACCATCATTTACTGTTATCACTGTTGGAGTAAGGCACCTGCCATAGGGTCAGGAGAAACAGCATCCTGCCCTTGTGATCTCTGGGCCTAGTTTTTTCCTCATTTCTACCCTGCAGCCTCATTGATTATTAGCTGACAGTGTGTGTTTGCAGACCAGAAACCAACCATGCCCTGGGCTGCATCCCCAGCAGCATGACCAGCAAGTCAAAGGAGGGGCCCCTGCCCCTCTGCTCTGCTCTCTTGAGACCCCACTTGCAGCACTGTGTGCAGTGCTGGCGTGCCCAACATGAGGGACACGGAGCTGTTGGAGCAAGTCCAGAGGAGGCTACAAGGATGAGCAAGGGCTGGAGCACCTCCTGTATGGAGACAGGCTGAGAATATTGGGGCTGTTCAGCCTGGAGAAGAGAAACTGCGTGGAGA